AACGAGAGTGAAAAATCGAAGAATAAAAAACACATGAAATGCTTAAAATTATTTCTTGAGGGATTTTATTTTAGCAATTTAAGGAATAGCTCAAGGTTAGGTCATACACCTTCCCTTAATGATTTTTTCAAGCAAAATTAAAATCTGTTGAGCATAAATGTGCAAAAATTGGACCACTTGACATAGAATTAAATCACGCCTTAGTATAAAGCTTAGATGGAGACATAGGTCTGCTTGGCTGGTGGATCTTTTCATCGGCTAAATGGTAAAAGTTTCTCAGAATAGCACTAGAGAATCAAGCAAAAAGATATTGAAATGATTGGATTTGGTTTCTAGATTGAACTTTTCAGTTGAAGATAAGCTATACTGTGAAGAGACAAGAAGACTCTCCATCCTCAAAAAACAAGATGCCTCCATTAGCAACTATGAGAAGATGCTACAATCAAATTGCCATTTTCATAAATAGAATTATTAGAAAGCTTACTTTCTCATTCTTTGGAGCTAGGCAACAGCATGAGAATGAAAACAAAATTTCTCACTTCCCCTTTTGCTAGAATTTTCTCCATAATTGACGGGTCTTGTAGCAAGTCTCTATTCATTTCATTTCATTCTCTATGCATTTCACACTTGGATTTTTGGAACAAAGAGGACATAAAAACATTCAAAGGGAATACTTGATGCAAATTGAATCTGAAATACCTGTGGTAGTATAGTGTGATATCACCCTCACTATTCAGGATTCTGAGGCTGTCAACAGAAACTTTAAATTACAAGGTCCCACAAGCTAGAAGATCCTAAATGAAAAACATGGAATGAAAGGACAGCAGTCCCACTGCTCTCTTAGTGTTTTTGTTTCTATACATAAATTCTTCAACCAGGAGAATTAATAACAAATGGGGTAGCCTACTCATTTTGAGCTTGAAATGGGGGGGTATCTTTATCATAAGATTTAAGAGCATCAAGGTCTATGGAGTTAATAAAAGAATACTATGCATCAGTCATGCAGACTCAGCCTAACTCTGGCCCCAATCCTCGTCATACTGGAATGGTTCAACGAAGGACGCAACATGATGTGAGATTTTAAGGCATGCCATTTCTGAGTCAGCAGGGCACAAGACATGTAGTTGATGGACTACCTCTTCTTCAATCCAGTCCTCAGGTAGGGCCTTCTAGGCCTGGCACACATATGCAAAAGGAACAATGAATGCAATGACTTTCAAAGACCATTGTAATCGCAATTCTGTTGGGATTGCAGGGAAGGGTCTACATGGAGCAAGCTGAAGGAATGCCAATGTTCTAGCATTGTCATGCACCACATTTCTAGAACTGTAATGTGTCATCATCTCATATCTGTTATTTTCAGTCAATGGATGAGCTTGAAGAGCATCCAAGAATGTCTCAGTGAGCTTTGCATTGCTTCACAGAACTTTGGAGGACCATCTTGGGAGGAATCCAACTTAAGGCTTATTCCATTGAATAAACAAAAAAAATTCTTAGGAGTGAAAAGTCAGAGGCAGATCAGTATTGTTTGTACTGGCAAATTCACCATTTCAAAAGGTGAACATTAACAACATATTAAAAGAACACACATTTCAGTTCATACATTAGACCATTTTTCACCTTTTCCTGAGACTGATGTCCAATTAGACACTATTACAATGTCACTACCAGTTCACCTATGAACTGATTTCATATCCCTGCATAACATTTTCCTATGACAATGAATAAACCAAGAACTAGATGTAACTAAGGATGGAAAGTGAATTGGTGTTTATTAAGAAAATAAATTATAGAATAAAGAGAATCTGAGCAACAGGGTTTAGTAGTATACATTTACACTGTGGAATACCTCAGAGATTTGAGTTTTGAAATGAATAAACTAGAGCCACTTTCAAATTAATTCCATCCCAACTGGTAGAATTATCACAAGACATCTCAGGAAAAGTTGGAAAACAGTATTGGTATAAATCATGTGGCAAGAAGATACGAATCAACTAGATGAAGCATTTGTCCTCTTTGTTGACCCATGACCCCTCTTTGGGAAGTAGTAGTTCTCAAGACTGAACACAGTTGAGGAATTCAGCATCAAATACCTGTAATTTAAAAGATGAATGAATTGAACATTGGTGCAATTCCATCAAGTAATAATCATTCTTGATTCAATTACTTAGAATTCAAGAAGAGCTTAAGTCCTAACAATACTTTTGTACTTTATTTTTCTCAATTTCTCTGTTTCAATGTTGTGCATGAATGAACATAGCCTGAGGAAAAAGAGGAGAAACTCGTCAACATAGTAATCTAAGCACAAGGACAGATGACTAAATCCATGCACTCTCTATACAAATGGACATCTTTCACATGGATAATTGAGATGATAAGAATGCCTATGGCAAAAGAAACAGAATAAGTTATTTTGAAATACCTCAGAAAATCTTTGTATCCTTTCCAGACCAACAATAGGACATGTCAGAAAGACTTTGTACCATTTTCAGAACAAAAACAGAACAAGGGCATTGCCATCCTTTTATATTCACATGGAGAGCAGAACTTCAGCTGCAAGTAGGTGTGTTTGTACATTCATTGCATACTTTGTAAGAGCCTCCATGCTCATGGAAACCTGCACAGAAAGTGCAAAAAATCTTTCTAAGAAAGACTTTAAATAAAGGAACTGGAACTAACTCTTCTGACTGTAGCACAGTACCCATCATAATTAAATTAGCTTATTAGGAACATTGCAAACAAGTTCTGAATACCATTAACTAGCAGAGCTTAGAATACGTTGTGAACCTGGTGATAACAAGGCCTGTGAGACCTATAGGCAGGCATTTGGTATGTGTCTAAACTCAGAATTCTGCAAGTCTGTTGTATCTAATCTCTTTCTACTGCCAGAAGGAAAGGTAGTGATCAAAAGGAAGAGGGAAAAAGTAGAGCAGAGCATCAATAAGGCCATCAGGGATCACTCTTTCCCCCTTTTGGACCAGAGTCCCTCAGATGGTCAGACCTATCCAATTATTTTGAGCTGTAACATTAGCCAAAATCCTTATTTTTGTCCCCCATTTTCATCTTGAGTTGGTTTAAATTCAGGCTATTATTAAATATAAAAAACCACACATGTAACATCTTCAGGCATCCTATCATGGCAGTTAGCCATGATAAAATACCAATAAATGCCAAAATACCAATGAAAAAAGGTCCTTATTTTGCTGACTGGAATGTGACATGCAGTCTTCTGCACAAAGATCCATGCATGGAATATTAATGTTCCAATAGCTACTGTGAGGAAAGTAGAATCCACCCTGGAGGTTGCTAAGTTAAAAGTTAGATTTTCCCATGAAAAACTTACAAACAATATCACAGCAGAGGGTCCTAGGTGGAAATTTAACCTAAGACACCTAATGAAATTATACTTATGGTTTTATTACTCTCTGTCAAGGTGCACAATAGCATCCTTCCATTCTACCACTGTCATACAAAGGTACCAATTGGCTATAATGGCCTGATTTCAGTGCTATCCATAAATATGTCAACTTCTAACAATTGGTTCCTGGCTGGGGAAAAAAAAAAGTAGAAAATAATCAGCATCACAGATTCTGCTCACCACCAATCCATTTTTTTTAAATATCCCATTACGAAAAAAGAGACAGGGACAGAAGGGATCCAACCCATCCACTGCTTCCTGATCACTCATATTTTCTTTGGAATGACATGAGCTCAGCTACACCGCATGTCAGCAATTGCAGGCCATGAGAAAGAGTGCATAATCAAGCATGACAGGCAATTCTTGATAAGGTGGACATTTTGACCCAAAAGTAGGAAATTTTTTAAAAGAAATTTTCTACTGAACTCAAGGAATCATGATGAACAACTTGTGAATCTGATGAGGAAGGATAGTGAATCCTCCTAGTAGGGAACCAATGGCTCAGTTTCATCCATTCTTTTTTTTTTTATAACCCCCTCCCAAGACTGTATATAATTCTACATAATCATTGAATTTTGGACTAGGCATTGCCTGGCTAATTTTTAATGACCTACAGTAATTGCATTTACTTTCAGTGAGCAAGAAATGTTTTTGAATCAATTGTCTGCTTCTATGGATTATCAGTCAGCTGCAAGGACCACTGTCCCTATGATAGGGAAATGTGTGCACCAATAATGACAGTGTATACAAGTGGCTGCAAATATTTCTTGACCTGTTCTTAAATGTAGAGATTACGAGAATTTCCCTGGGACAAGGGGTGACATGCAACACAGAATCACTTAAGCTTACACTAACATGATTTGTCCCCTAAAGGAATCAGTTTGACAGAAAGTCTTATTCCCATTATGAAATCAAATCAGATTAAAGTTAAACAGATTTTGTGCATGTCACCTAAGAGTTGCATATAGGGTGAATATAAGAAAAATATAAACAAATATGTGAAATTTCAGTAATTTTTTAAAATCACATTGTAATTTAATTTTTCCTTACATGTACTGAGTTTCTGTGATCAGAATGGCCATGCCATGACATGATTTCATGCAAAGGGGAATGATTTTGGAATGGTGGCACCAAGCAAGTCAGGTAGTACAAATTCGCAGCAACTATTGCCTCCATTATAACTTCAGTAACACTCCAGACAGAAAAACTATTTAAAATTTTTAAAAAGAACTTTGAAACCAATGGAAGCCTTGGTTTCTTAAGTCCTTCTTATTCATTGTATGATTTTCCTTTCTGGAACATCAAGAACATTATAATGGCAATAATAGTTCCATAGCTTTTGTACTATCTACATAGATTGGTGCTATCATACTAAAATTTCTCTAATCCATTCCAAATCAAGTCCTGGAGTAGTGATACGGATCACATGCTCCCACTCCATACCTGTAAATAAAAATTATAATTATAACAAAACTAAATTACTCAATCAAAATTTGAATCTAATAAATGGAGGCAATATTTGAAACACAACATATATAACAGTTGAACATCTATGGGAGAAGTGGATCAGACAAGGAGAGATTTACTTCAGGAAATCCTGGACATAAGCCATGAGGAGACGAACGCTCTCTTCATCTGCTCCAGTGATCCCAAGCATTGGACCCAAATTCACTGCCAAAAAAAAAGCACAATCAAAACCAATACCAAGCATTGTGTATTTCAGCAGGAAATACCTACGTATCTACTCTAGTTACATGTAAAATACATGCTGATGAGTCATCAGCATTCCTTCCTTCCTAAGTTTATTAGATTGCTTTAAGGAGAGCTAAAATGGTGAAATAGTGAGAGCTACATTTTCTAAGCATTGATGCACTCCTGAGGAAAAACGATGGTAGTGAATATCTACATGTTACAAAGCTGTGGTGAAAAGATGCACTAGTAGTATTAGCAAAATACAACATTCACTAGATTGCAGCACTTGTGTGGTACACAATGTGGCTGAAGGCATCAATGTGACTTGTCTTTGGCCCATAAATGCTATCTCACAGTGTTTCTATTAATCTTCATACCTGTAGTACACTACAAGGTGGAAGGGGGAAATTACTTTGCACATCTCTCAAAAACACTTATACTGCATATATGTTTTATTGTTCTGTCTACCATGGAGCAATGGTGTTCTTTCTACAGCAATGTTAACTTATAGTTTAGAAATTTCTCCAGTAAAAAACTAATGCATTTTTACCTGTCATGCAGAAGGGAAAAAAAAAACTGAAAACCATGATTTCATTTAAAAATTTGAACATGTGCATTAGGGGATCAAGAGCAGGTTACCAAAGAGTCGCAAGAGATGGGTAGCCCCATAAAGCTGGCTAGCAGAGCTGTCTATTTGCTCAGACATGATTTCAATGTACTGAGCCCTCTCATACTTGTAGAGAAGCTGTGAACCCAGAAGGGCATTGAAGATGTCTTTCAGCCCTTCCATCACCTCCACAATTGCTCGTTCCCTGCACACAGGATCCATATTCCGTGGTAGAGCAAGTTCTTGATCAACAATAAGAGAAAATACTGCAAAACTTACATCAGGTGTCAAATTTGATTAGCATGAGAGCCAGAGGGAATTTATCAGGGGTGGTTGGTGGGAAAAATTAATAAATTCAAATTTTATTGCTCTAAATTTATTATACAGAGAATTTCAGCAATGTTTTTCTAAAACTAGCTGTTGAAGAGGGCTTCACAGGTTTATCAAATGGACTGGCAAGTCATATCTACCCTGTGGACAATGGCTGATTTGACACCCCTGACTAAAATAGTCAAGCCTGAAATGCTGGTACCACTGGGTCAGCTTAGTGGGTGTCTCTTCCATATATGTTCTGCATGTCCACCCTTGCTCAGATGGATGTTCACCATTCATGCCAGTGACTGAATAGAAGCAGTAGTCTCTTGCTTCTTATAGCAAAGAATCAGCCCAATCAAAAGGAACAGCCTCAGCATCACTCATGAACTCATTGTGTCATGTTGACACAATGGTTTCATCAGCATTTTCATATTGTTCCTCATTTCTTCTACTCTATTCACAAAAAAAATATTTTTTTGTCACTCCAAGCAAAACAGAACCATCATCATCATCACCATGCATGATCAATTCTTGTGAGAAAAAAAATCCAAAAAACTCAAAATCATCATAAAGAACTCACTTATTGATGTTGTTATTAGGAAGACAAGCACGATGTGTCACATAGGTGTCAATAAGTTGGTCCACACTTGGACTGGCTGGAAGGGTCAGCAACTACATTGAGGAAACAACATGAGTTAATTTTAACACTCTAGCAGAGTTTAGTTCTTTAAAAGTGTTGATTTAACTTTCTCTGAAAGTTTTGTTCACCCAATTGCCTTCACAGTTGATTTAAGAGTTTCAGACAAAGGATTTCATTCCTGAGTAGTCAACTGCACAAGAGCCAGAGGCTAAGATGATGAGTAATCTTCACTACTTTTTGATTTCAACAGGTTAAAAATGCTACATGGAACTGCTTTATTCTGTGAAACATAAAAAAATGGCAAGAAGCTTACCTTGCCTTTGCGGACAACCATTTCCCTGTCCTCAACCAAGAATGCATTGAGCTCATCAGGCAGCTGGAACCGATACTCAACTTGCTCTCCAAGTTGACCTTGAGTTGAGTTTTCCTGAAATATAAGAAAATATGGCCTAGCAATTTTTAAATGAATGACAAAGATAGTGCCATAAAGGGTAAATGGCATTATTTGAGATAGACGGCTTGTAAAACCCCATTGACGACACAATTTTTAGCTTATATTCCACTTATCATTAAATAGCCCATGTAAGGGAATAGAGGCAGAATAATGAATTAAAAAAATCATTTTAAATGGCCACCTCAGACCTATTACTCCTGTCCGATATGCATCGTTTTATTTGATAGACCTTACATTAAGTGCTACTGGAGAAAAGAGGCACATTTAGGTTGCTTCCATGCAAAGTAAATGTCTCTGATTAACAACTGCATTGAAATAATCAACATGTTTATCTGCACAAGAGCACTGCTATCTGCATAATTTGAAATGCAAAGGACTTTAAAACAGGATTCACACACACAGTTGCTGCTTCTGCAGTGCCATCATCTACCTTAGATTCTTTTTCCATAGAGATGCAATGACCTATAGCATATGTCATCATTTGCCAATCCCAAAGTAATCATGACTCACAACTTCACAATTTCCTGACATGTGAAAAATTACTTAATAACTTTCACACATTAATATTTATAAGCACTCTTCCTAAGATTACAATATATTTTTCTCAGGAAGTGCACCATTTTGAAGGCTGGAAATAATAATACGACCTTATATAATAATCCCATATTTAATAAATAGAAATCTTACTTCTCTTTTCTTCAGGAGAACTTAGAATTTGGAGCAATTACTGAGATGACTAAATTTTGTATAAGGATGACAAGAAATTCTCAGGTTTTGCCATATGAACATGCCTTCAAAAAAAAATAGAGCACACTAGAGATTTGGTGTTTTCCAGGAATGGAAGTTTGGTCAATACTCTGAACAGTGAACATTTTTATAAGCATTGTAATCCCTTCACCATATACTTACCAGTGAACAAATCAATATTTTGAACAATTATATCAAAAACATCCAAACTCCACCAATGGCCCCCTTTTTCTTTCATTCTCTACAGCTACCAACTTGAAAACATGACAAATGAATGCTATGAAATGGAGACAAAAGAGACTTACCACTTGCTTAGTATCCATGGGTTCAGGGAAAGGAGATCTGGGAGTGTGCGAGGCAGAGCTGCTGGTTGAACTTGTAGATGAAACCCCATGAAGGTTGTTTGGAATGGTTGATGCTGGACTATTACCTGCCTGATTGGTCCCTGAAGGACCTTAATATGGGAAAAGAAAAAGGGATGGGCAGAAGAAGATAGCCAGTGATTCAGTAAGACAAAAGAAAAAGAGAAATAAAATTAAACTAAACAGAATCACCTCTTATTGAAAATGTTGCACATTTCATATTGCATGTTTGAATTATAATATTTTTTTAACACCTTAAATTATCATGCAAAAAGCATTTAATCCAATTACATTGTGTCTAAAAAATCACAGTGATTTCATTTGGCAATATTTTTTGAATAGATAAGAGCAAATAAAAACTGAAAAGATAGTTGAAAAGTATGAACTTTGACAATTTCAAAGTGCTTATTCCATGGGTTAGTATTTCACCACAAATTGTGCTTCAAGCAGCCTCCATTCTGCTACTTTCATCCCCAAGTCTGACAAATAAATTGTTCCCAGCCTGTTTACAAACATCTCACCTGATAAATTGGCTCTTGCTCAGCACAGTTCAGTGGTTTGGGGGGGAATGTTCCAATGATTCTTGAGCCCTTAGAATTGAGAAATTCATCTAGATGTTTGTGAGAGTCTTTGATTACTCTCTTTTTAGACTTTAGAAGTGAGAAAATTGAGAAGGGAATTTGGAGCAAGTTTTGACAAGTGATTCTTCTTTTCTGTAATATTTGTCTATTTCTATATTATTTATTTGCTGAGAAGGTATTTTAGAATGAGGTGGATGGCTTTTGGGAAATCCTGCACAAGAATAAGAGATTTTCCATATTTGCAACTTCCTCAGCACTTACGTTCAGAACTTTCACTGGTATGATGCTTAGAGGAGGAAGCAGAGGAAGCTGATGAAGGTGCAGGTGAAGGATCCTGCTGAGTGGGAGTCAAAGGAGTACTTCCAGCATTGGCAGACTGACTTTCTGCTTTTCGGCGTCCCACTGATCCAGAGAATAGCTTTAGCTTCCGTTTTGAAGCCCTATCAGGGACATGTATGCCATATGCTGGTATAATTCACAGAATTCATTTGACATGCTATGTAGGTAGGAGAAATGCACATGGACAATATCACTCACAAAAGGGTGTCATGCTGGGTGAGGAGATTCTTTTGTTTCTGCAGGTTCACTTCATTGAACTTCAGCATACGACTCTCACCAACCCATTCATCCCAGCTAGGATGACATAAGCAAACAGGCTTAAGAAATCTACATCTTTAGAGATAGGAAATGTTAACAACAGGAAATGTTTTCTAACACAGCAAGAATCACAACTCCAGTATTTGTACAGATCATAATTATACAGATCATAGGAAGTTGAAAATCTTACCCCAGACCGCAAAGACAAACTTTGGGCATGAATTTAGTTTCATCTTCATTTCAAATGTCTAAGGTTTTTTTTCATTCACATTTCTATCAAACATTTCCCCATTTCATATACAACATAAAAATATTATTTTTATGCTATTATTCTCTACCAAAATGGGACAAAGATCCTTTTTAAGAAAATCCCAACAGATACTACTTTAGAATTTCTTTTATCCACTTTGATAATATGCAAAAACTCACTTGTATGAAAATAAAAAAGAAAACATTCCATGAGTGTCTGAAGTTGCAAGCTTCTCTCATTCAAGTCAAACACTCTATCATAGGCCTTGGCATAACTGGTATTTTACTGCTGTGGTTATTAGCCTATAGCTGCAAGATGCATGGGCTACTTTGGAAACTAGGGATGAAATGAGAATCTCAAATAAATGTGCTCACCTCTTGTTCCAGCCAGCATAATGAACCAAATACTTGGGTGTCTTCTCCTCAATTGAGGCCTTGAGACACTTGGCCTCATATATGAGAGGGCCATGGAAACATAAAATCTTCTCACCTAATACATTTGGGAGAAAACAAAGGATTAATTCATGAAACCAGAACAAGTAACCAATAAAACAAACAAGTAGCTGTATATCAATTACCCTACCCACGTGAAAATTTCATATAAGACCATATATGAAATGGTCATATATTTAACCAGTCCAACATATATGGGGCATATATGACCATATAGTGCAATACATATATGAACATATGTGAAACATGTATGGGGTTTGACACAAGTCACATAAAATCATATAAGAGTGAAAATATATGACCCCATACATTTTCATATATTGGCTCATACATATGCACCATATACTG